TCGGTATTGACACCTGTCCTGTTTTTATCTCCTTCAACTCTCATAGTTCCAGATTCTTAAACTTCGGGCTGCAGAATTTGGGATACTCAGACAGTGATGGAGAAGGGCATTTGGAAATCATTTAGTCTATTTATAAGAAATACATCCAGCCTTCAAAATTGTTGCTTTTCTTCACATGGGGAGGACCTCAAAATACATTTGTGGAATTGGATTTGGGGTATTGGAACTTAATTTTTTCAAAGTTTAATTCAATTCAGCAAACGCTTATTGAGGTCCTCTTCTGAGACACCCGTTAATGAAGAAATGGCCCCGCCTCTCACACGGGGACAGGAAGGGGGTACACTAAGCAAGAGTCTGCAATCTTTCCTGCGGGACAGTATCCTTCAGCCGAGACTAAAAGGATGATTCAGCATTTTCCAGGCGGATGGGAAGGAGGGACATTCCAGGTAGAAGGACAGACAGGTTTGAGCCTGGCGTGTCCTGTACCAGGAGCAGGGGAAACGGTGTGGGAGGGTGCGGCTGAAGAAACAGGTCTGGTCACGAAGGGCCTTTGAAACCATGCTCTGGAGTCTGGAATTAATCCTAAAGATCACAGAGGCCAAGCCTGGCTGCACCTGGGACATTTTGATAAAACAATTCAGCCACCCTTTGTGAAGGTGGGGCCTGGGCAATAGAATGTTTAAAATATGCCCCAAGTGATTCTAATGTCTGCCCAGGGTAGAGAATCACAGCTCGAGACAAGAAGTCTGCAAAGTTTTCCTCTAAACGACCAGGTAGTCAATAGTTTCGGTTTTGTGGGCCACACAGCCTCTGTTGAAATTACTCAGGTCCCCTACAGGCACACCTCGTTTTATTGCATGTGGCTTTATTTTTTTAAATTTTTTAACCCTTACCTGAGGATATTCTTTCCATTGCTTTTCAGAGAGAGTGGAAGGGGGAGGAGAGAGAGAGAGAGAGAGAAACATCAATGTGAGAGAGACACAGCGATTGGTTGCCTCCTGCACACACCCTGACTGGGGCTGGGGATTGAGCCTGCAACCGAGGGACATGCCCTTGGCCCAAACCGAACCCCGGGCCCTTCAGTCCCTGGGCCGACGCTCTAAACCACTGAGCTAAACTGGCCAGGGCAATTGCACGCGGCTTTATTGCGCTTCACAGATGTTGTGATTTTTTTTGCAAGCTGAAGGCAAGACCTTCCACCAGCAAAAGCTTGCGATTCACTCTGTCGTGATTCTTGCTTCGTTGGGCGATCAGGAAGCAGCTGCGGCGTCCGGGACTTAGCGGGTGCTGCGGAGGCCGCCGGCCAAGGCGTGAATGAGCGCGGTGCTCTCTCCCGCTGCTCACGCGTTCACTGCTCATGACAGTCGCTCTCCTCTGCGGCTTTGCTTTCTGCGGTTTCAGTTACCTATGGTCAACCTTGTTTAGAAAACACTAAAGGGAACACTCCAGAACAAACAGTCCATAGGTTTTAAATTCTGAGTAATGTGATGAATCCCTTGAGGTCCTGGTCCATCCCACCCGGACCTCGACTCATCCCTTGGTCCCACGTCTCCGCACAGTGGACGCTCCCTCCTGTTAGTCACTTAGTAGGTTCACGAGGTTATCCCCTGTTGTGAGATGTCAGTGCCTGAGTTCAAGTCACCCTTATTTTGCTTAATAGTGGGTTCAGAGCACAAGAGGAGTGATGCTGGCAGTTCGGATACACCAAAGAGAAGCTGTAAAGTGCTTCCTTGAAGCGAAAAGGGGAGTAGAGCACAATAAGATATTCTGAGGAGGGCCACATTCAATAACTTTTATTGCAGTATATTGTTATACTTGCTCTATTTTATGATAACTGTCCTTAATTTTTTGCTGTGCCTAATTTATAAACTAAACTTTATCATAAGTATGCATGTATAGGGAAAAAAACAATACTATAGATAGGGTTTAGTATGATCTCCAGTTCTGGGAATCCACTGGGGTGGGTGGTCTTATAACATTCCCCGTGGATAAGAGGGAAATACCGTATTATATTTACTAAATAATATACAAGCTTGTTCTCATTGTAAAAGAATCAAAACAATATAGACAAAGCTCAAGTCTTTTTTACCCCTCATTCATTTCTCAGTCCCCTTCCCAGTCAATAGCTGTTATCAACGGGTGTGTTTCCTTCTAGAACTTTCTGGAACTTTCTCTATGCTTTTTTTGTGTATATTTATCCACTAGAAAGATATTGTTTTGTTTTGGAAAACTGAAAAATATATTGAATGTTCTTAAGCTGTTGTTTTTTTCATAATAATATGTCTTGGAGCATTTTCCTCAGTAGCAAATATAGATCTATCTCTTTTTATTTGTTGCATAGCATTCTTATAAAATATGAAAGTGCTACAGCTCATTTAACCTTTTCCTGATAGAGGNGCAAATATAGATCTATCTCTTTTTATTTGTTGCATAGCATTTTTATAAAATATGAAAGTGCTACAGCTCATTTAACCTTTTCCTGATAGAGGTTGAACTATGTGAAATTGCCAACATTAAACTGTTTTTGTCCCATAAAATGGAATTTTCATTAAGTTGTGGTTCAACTTAACCGTTTCCAATTTTTTTGCCTTCACAAGCATCGCTGCCACGAGCATCCTGCAGTGTATGCTCGTGTGTTTCCCTGGAGCTGACTCTGAGATGCTGAATGGCTGGGTCCTAGGGGACATCAGTTAGGAAGGCGTCTTTGGTTAAACCACAGACACGACTCTGGCAAGCTTCAGCAAAAAGCAGAGCTGATCGGCAGGCTGGGGGGCAGCTCGCAGGGTGAGAGGAGGGCCAAAGACCTGCTAGGCTGAGGGCCGGTCAGGTCCAGGCAGCCTCCAGGGTGGTGGTCATGGTGCAGCCTCTCAGGGGACCACCATCCGGTGGACGAAGGCCGAGCTTTGATTTGGGCTTTGACTCGCTCCACACTAGTCCTGGGACAGGGTTGACATCATGTCATGGTGAGGGGGAGGGTAGTGGGAGCAGCCTGCAGGGACCCTGTCAGCTTCTGTAAGGACAGGACAAAAAAAGGGAGGAAAAAAAAAAGGAGTGTAAGGATTAGAGAGGAGAAATAATAGTGCACAACTAAAAGAAAGTTCAGCAAATTCGCCAGATCCCAGAACAAATTACAAAAATCAATAGCATTTTCCCACACCAGCAACAATCAATTGGAAAATATAATTAAAAATAAAATATCAAGGAAAATAGCCAACTATATACTATCTAGGAGTTGTCTGTGTAATCTGCTTGAAGATTACATGGGAAAATGTAAAATTATAAGTAAGGATACAAAAGAAGATTTGAGTACATTGCATGATATCCAATGACGGCTTAATGCAAAATTGATGTCCATTTCTCCCCATATAATATATAAATTTGAAACAATATGAATTAACATTCTAGTTGAATGTTTTGAAGAGCTCAATACACTTTTTTTCTGAAGTTTCCTGAAATTTCTGAAAATCTTCTGAGTACAAATGTTCTGAAACTTGTATGAATGATTAATGGTTTACAACTAACTAGCTCAACTTTGGGAGAAAAAAAATAACTTAAGGCAAAATACTCAATATACTACAAATCTGTAATAATAAAACCTGTATGGTTTTGGTATTAGAGCCAGGACTGGCTTCATAGGCCTGTGACCTTTGCAGTCACTTAGGGCCCACACTTTAAAGGGCCCTTTGCTTGCTTTAACTGTGATTGACCGGCACCATCTTGAAGTTCTTTTTTTTTTTTTAATGTCTTTATTGATTTCAGAGAGAGAAAAAGAGAGGGAGATGGGGGGAGAGAGAAACATCAATGAGAGAGTCATTGGTCAGCTGCCTCCTGCACGCTCCCTACTAAGGACTGAGCCCAAAACCCAGGCATGTGCCCTGACCGGGAATCCAACCGCCATCTCCTGGATCAAAGGTCGATGCTCAACCTCTGAGCCACACCAGCCACACCATTTTGAAGTTCTTAATAATATTAAAATAAGAGGTCCTGTGTTTTCATTTTGCATTAGCCCTGCAAATTATCTAGTCAGTCTTGACTAGAACAAAGCTTGTTCAAAGACTAGACCAAAAATTACAGGCTCAAAAGAATGGATTTCTGTCCGATGAAGGACACCACCAATAAAGAACTGGCAGATAACTGACTGAGAGTAAATATTTTCAATGACTCAGGTGAACAAGGACCAATATATAAATAATAAGGAGCTCTTGCTAATCAAAAAGAGAAGATCCATTAAAAAACGGGCAAAGAATACTTTACAGAAGAGAAAACTATAATGGCTGACTGACAAAAATATTCTAGCTTACTTGTAATTAGAAAAATGAAAATTAAAACAACAACTGGATATTATTTTATATCCTTTAACTGCCCAAAATGAGAAAGCTGGACAACGCAAAGAAACGATAGGAACCAGCATCCTGGGGGCAGTCCCTCCAGAGAGCCACCTGGTGGGGTTGATCCAGTATTTGTGCACCTTGAGACCCAGCAGTCCCCCTCACAGGCTTGGGACTAAACCTGAGCTAAATCCCCTCGTAGGTCTATATGGGGATACAAACAAGGAGTTTGTTACCGTGAGTTTTTTTGGGTTGGAGGCCATGTATGTGTCCATCACCTGGGGAATGGCTAAGGCTAGGACAATGATGAATGATTACACAGCAGTTAGAACCTCTGGACTAGACAAGCACAGTAACACCATCAATAGTAAAATGTAGTACTGAGTGACATATGTAGAAGCAGGAGATCCGAGGCACAAAGTCATTTATATAAATTAAAAATACACATACACAAAACAAGAGCACTTACATATGAGGGGACACACATCACACAACATGAGAGGGGCCTGGATGCAAAATGCAGGCTCAGAGAGTAGCATCTGAATATATCTTTCTCTTTTGTTGGCCATTTAACTTCGATAGGTTTAAATGGTGGAACTGAATGCCTATAAATTCACTTGAAAGCGACACAAGGAAGCTAACTTTGCCCACTTCTTTTGCTTCGAAATTCAGTGTATGACTCCGTCGGGAAACTTGGGAGCAACATTCTCAGTGGAAACGTGGACAGGCTGGGGTCCTACAGTGAGTGCCTCTCCACCTATGCGCCCTCGGGGGGCTTCCAAGGGCAATACTGCAAGCTTCACGTCCTGCAGGTGAGCGTGGGGACCCTGGGCACGGGCTCTTGAAGGAAAACGTCATGATATGGAAACCATTACAATTCCACTGATTGCTTTTCTTAATAAATAAAAAACCCTATTAAGATGTTTTGCAAAAAGTTAAAACTAAATTTTAAACAGTGTCAGAAAGTTTCTTGTATGTTCTGAGCGTGAGACATCGGAGGCTGTTGTTCACAGACCACCTAGGCCTTCAGATGTTCCTCCTTCCTTATTATATGGGGCAAGATCTCTGGAGGACCTTTGTGGAAAATCCAAGATCAAGTCCCAGCCAATGTTCCTGAGCATTAAGTCCTGACTTATCATTTTTAGAAATACCAAAGGATGGACTTCCTGTTAACCATAATCCTGTTTCTGAAACAGCTGCAAGACAGGAATTTAAGGTTATCCTAGCAGATGGGCTGAGACTTCTATGACCACATCCGTTGATTGAAGTCACAGGGCTCACTATCTTCAAAGCATATTATTTTCATACTGCTGGGGGGTGTGGATCAGGGGAGGAGGCGCTAGGAAAAGCATGGCCTCCTACTAAAAAGATAGACTTTGTGTGTGTCTCAAAGCTAAAAGAAAATACATTACCAGTTGGCTAATAACAACAGTATAAAATACTAAGAAATCCAAGCCCTCGGATATTAATACTATAAAATGGTCTTGCAATGGTTAACCATTGGACATAGGAAGATTATCATCCAGCTCCATTCGTCCCCCTGAGGGTTGGATAATAGCTTCAGGGTTTAATCAGTGTGTACAAATATCATATGCTCTTTTCAAATAAGATGAATGGTTTTGCTCTCAGAACAAAAGGTCAGGCCTACACAATCGTGCAAGTTATATGTTTAGCAGCCTCCCAGAGATCTTTATTTATAATTTAATCTTTGCTTTATTGGGACAGGCATTCTAATTATTGGCTTGATTTATTAGTAGAATCTTTTTTTTTTAAAGCAACTTTATTTTTTTTTCCTTTAAATATATCTTTATTGATTTTAGAGAGAGGAAAGGAGAGGGAGAGAGAGAGATAGAAACATCAATGATGAGAGTCATTGATCAGCTGCCTCCTGCACGCCCTCGACTGCGGATCAAAGCCTGCAGACCCGGGCATGTGCCCTGACAGGGGGATGGAACCCCAATCGCCTGGATCCTAGATGGATGCTTGACCGCTGAGCCACGCCCGGCCGGGCAGTAAAATCTTTACTTGATATATTGTGTCCTGCTATGAAGATATGACAAGTTGCGAGTATTGTAGGAGTGTTAACTTTAAATATGGGAGATGGATGCGCTGGGGCAGACTCCCCCACACTGGGGGCTGCTTTCTAAATAATCAGCTACATTAAGCCTTGGAGCATATTTTTATTTAAATGTGGGTGCATCTGATGTTCTATAAATTCACTGGAACTACTCTGTTACGGAGAAGCCATCTCCAAAGAAGTCAGCAAACTTTTCCTCTTTTAGTATCTTTCCCTCCCCTTTCGCAGTGTGATTAATTCCTGGGCAGTGCCGCCACGGCCTTCCTTACTTGGAAACCAGGCACCGTTGCATGACTAACGTTAAGGGATGTGCTGGCCTTCCGTTTCCCAGGGTGGAGCTGACTACAGCGTGGGCGTGTGTGTCCCTGATTCTTGTGCCGAAGAGGATGTGACTGCGATGGCTCAGCTGGGTAGGTCCAAAGGGGTACCCAGCGAAACTACTGTCTCAGCATAAAGTGTGAAAAGCCCCAGCTCCTCAGAGCCAAGAAAGACCATTCTCCCAGGATCGAGCCAACCTTTCATTCTGATAAATGCAATACGCTGAGGCTGATGGAGCTTCGGGAGGCTCGGGAGTGGTGGTGGTGGTGCAGGAAAAGAGAAGGTAGGCAGGAGGAGACAGAATTAGGAGAAGGCAGGAGCTGAATCTTGATGCAATAACCTTTTAAACTTAATCTTCCCTCACCACCACCTCCTGGTTGGGCTTGAAGAAAGGAGATAGGTGGTGTCCGCTTTCCACATGGTGAGTGTCCTGTACTAGGGCCCACATGTGGAGATCTGTCAGCACCATATCCAGAATGCCACACTGAACTAGGATTGCGTGAGGCCCACGGGTGGTCGTGGATTAGTGGTAAGCATCCAGCTTTGGTCCTGGTTGTCATCTCCCAGCTGTGTGATCCTGGGCAAATCACTTAATCTCCCCATACTCTCCTCTCTTCCTCTGTACACGGTGTGTGTGTGTGTGTGTGTGTGTGTGTGACAAGGGCATTCAGTCTGGATCCAACTCTCTGTTGCCTCACAATCACTTCAGACCTTGACCATGCAGAATGAATACATTTAAGTCCACATGAAAACTGGTTTGATTTCCTCTAACTCTTTCAAAAATTTCAAGGAAGAGCTTTATTTTTTTATATTTATTTATTTAAATTTATCTTTATTGTTGAAAGTATTACAGATGTCCCCCTTTCTTTTCCCCATTGATCCCCTCCACCCTGCATCCACCCCGCATCCACCCCACCTCAGGCCTTCACCACACTATTGTCTGTGTCCATGGGTTATGCATATATGCATATAAGTTCTTTGATTAATCTCTCCCCACCCACT